ACTCACCTTGCCCGGAATAGGTTGTAAAAAAGCTTGCCCGGATGAGGGTTAAGCACATCTGTGGTATCTATGTGGTATCTATCTACGAACAATGGCTTGAACCAAAGGTTCGCACTCCCTCTCGTGTTAAGGTGCCCCCACCTCGGATACCACTTAGTAGGCTTCCTCTGAATCCGCTCTAGCGCTATCGACTCCTTCACTTGTGCATGGCCCCGGGACGGAACGCAATGATCCCAATCTATGGACATGAGTTCACTTCCGTTCCCTTGAAACGTTTAAACTATTTCGATGCACCTCATATGTAGAAGCACCTCGGCTGCTTCATGAAGCAGGCCGTGTATTTTGCACTCATACTGGCATTTTTCTCTTTCCGTAGGGACGGGCGACAGCGACTGGTTTCGTGAGATCTCGTGAGTTCTCAGTCTGCTTTTAATTTTTTTTCATGAAGGCAAGCGGAAGCCACAAGTGAATTTTTAGGTGTGAAGCATGTTATCCGTATCAGTGAAGGTTCACAGATGCCGATTCGGTCCAAGGAACCTGTCCATCCTCTCGACTTTCCCAATGGGTGATTACGATGGTCGGATAATTTAAAGGGGTCCGATATATCCACGGCCTAAATGAAGCCAATCTGGAGAAAAACTATCTCCACACGGAAGGGTTCTTGCAAACCAAAAGTAAAGGAATTCATTTTCTATCGATTTCTGAATTCTTGACCTTGATAGGTCCCGTTGAAATGTGGGAAAGGCTGCAGTATTGACTTTCTTCAATTCGTCGATCGAGGCAGTTTCTGCCCGAGGTCTCCTTCAGTTTCCACAACATATAACCTCATTTCCTCTTGAGATAAGGTAGTTTGGGTTAGAAAAAGTTTGCCCATTCCAGCATTGGTAACGGATATTCGTGACGAACAATAGAAACTGACGGTCTTTCTTTTGTTCCTTTTTTTCCGTCTGCCTACACAGATTAGACGAACTTTAACTGTGAAGACCGTTGTATTATGGAACGGCTCATGGAATGAATTAAAAAGTCCCTGCGAATTTCCAGTCATACTTATGCCACTACCGAATTTTCACCCTGAAATATCCAATAGCAAACAACAAAGGGAGGAAGCACGCACATTCCTCATACTAAGGTCAGGAATTGAGCCCAAAGAAGTCTGCATTAACAAATTCGAATGGAGGTGATCGCTGAGACGGTTGAGTTTACGTGAGAAATCAATAGCTCGGAAATTGAAGGAAGGATATTTTGCGACAAGAAAATTTATTTTTCCCCTAATGGAAAAAATGATTTGCGAATCAATGAGACTCATAGCCTTGAAATTGTTTTCTGGTATCTTACTAATAATATGCATATTCCGATATAAATATGGCATCGTAACAAAAGCAATTAATTGATTCTACGAATTTCCTTTCATTAAATTCATTCCCTAAGTTAAGAGTTCGTCACACAAAGGAATGAGATGTTGCAGCCCCGAACGAGGTCGCACCCTGCGTCGCCAGCAAGCGCCTCGCCCCTGGCGAGTCCTTCGACCTCAAGGAGAGTCTCTTGCCCGACGGGGGGGTCTTCATCCGAGCCTGTCGGTTTCGCTTCACGGTGGGAGGCTCAAGAAACCCCAAAGGGCACGGCAAAGAGCCCAAAGAAAGCGGCAAGCAATATCAACACCAAGAGCAAAGACAGGTCACGGGCGTTCTGTATTGCTACAGCACAGGGCTCTAGGCAGAGGACCCGACGCAAGGTTGCAGGAACGCGGACTTCGTTGTCAATGGGAACCGGTATGACTCCAGCATAATTTATTAAAAGCAACAACAAAAGCAATAAATATAATGGTAATAATAGTAATTATAAGTATCCTGGACGTGACGTTAATATGTACCCAAAGTTAACGGGGAAAAGACGAACATCAATCTTCGCATTGGCTGTGTCGGGGCCCAATATGAAAAAGACAGCTGCAGTTGTGGCTACCAGCACAGCTGTTGTTAAGTGTGCCAATGGAGCACCGGTTATGGATTGACAATCCATCTCGATTTCCTCAAATGTGGCAGAAGATGAAGATGCCAGGGCCGTCCACGATGGACATGATGCTTCTGCACCAGCACAGCTGTTGTTAAGTGTGCCAATGGAGCACCGGTTATGGATTGACAATCCATCTCGATTTCCTCAAATGCGGCAGAAGATGAAGATGCCAGGGCCGTCCACGATGGACATGATGCTTCTGCCGATGCGCCCTGTAATGGGAATGGCCAAAAAACACTCTGTCCAGGAGAATGCGGTGGACTGTAGAGGGCGGACAGGGGGTGATGAGCATTGATCTTGTCATGGAACTGTACGCGAAAATTAAAGCTACCTGCCCGAATTCGCCAAGGATGTAGGAAGCGATGAATAACACCCACTTCACAAAATTAAAATCAGGTTGGCGTCAAACCAAGATCTTCAGATATGGTAGCTTTTACAGCCATGTTAAGACGTCAGCAGTAACTCTTCCAGTCTGTCCAAACTGACGAACGTTAAACATGACTATATAGACAGATTTCGCACTCCTTCTCGGCCCAAGAACTAGATGACAATCAGTTGGCTCAGTACTCTTGCAACATCTTCCCAGGGATACTGAACGAAACGATCTTACTAGTTGTAGCACCTGTCTGGCATGAAGTTTCCGAAAAAAAGAGGTTGCGAGCGCGGACTATCAGGTTGCGAAGAAAATGTGTTGGTGGATAAAACCGTTTGTTCGGATGCTTTCCATTACATGCGCAATTTGTTGATGGCTTGGGTGGACCATCGGAAGGGATTCCATTCCACCAACCATCAGGATGTAACAGTAGTGATGAAATTGTTGCACGACCAATGCTTGACATATCTTATGGGTCCATATCTTATCTTATCCATATCTTATGAAGACGCGCTTTTCCATAACATCTGGGGGGAAAAGGCCTTTACTGACTACATCCAGTTCAGGAAGGGGAGTATAATAGGGAGATAGTCTTTTATCGCAAAATCCATGACTGCCTGGTGCCATAATTCGTTAGTCTTGCTTAGGTTGGAATGGAATGACCTCCCAAACGCCCATTATTTTATTTCGTAAAGTGTTTAATCGTGACAGCCTTTTTCTTTTATAAATATTGTCTAAATGATTTATTAGCTTCTTCAAAGATATATATTTTTTGACATATCCAGTAATGCCCAGACAAAAGAGACTAGCGTTGCTTCCAGTGTTGCACAATTCTGAAGACATGAGGCAGGACGTCGCCATTCCAATCCACATACCGGTTTTTTCAATGGAGAAGAATGGATGTAGGAATCACATGTACTGCAATTCACGCAATGAAGAAACAATTCTTAATGAATATTGAAAGTTCTGCAAGGTTGTGTACGTATACCGCGGGTGCTTCGGATTCTTGGATTTCCGTGTACGAAAAACTCAGAATTTCCGGATATTTTCAGCATTTGTGGGCGGGAGAGACAGATGAAGACCGCGACGAACGTGGGGAGGACCGTGGACGCCCTCCTCTACTCCATCGGGTCCTCCCGCTCGTCCCCGGGAATTCGGTGCATAATCGCTTGCGGTAAGCGAGGATTCCTCGAGCCGATTCTGTTTCTTGTTTCGTAGGGGCTCTCGTCGGTGGGTTATTGCATGCATTTCTTGGATCTCACGCCGAATGAACTGAGACTTGAAAACTTTTTTTTACCATAAAATTCTCAATATTGACAACTCTACACTTTTTTTTCCAGAAAACGGATCGTTCAGGAAAGGAAAATGAATCTTAAAGAACTTCTCCCTGACGTTATTCCCTGAACATCGAAATCATGTCAAAAAAATCCATCACAGACATGAACTTGCATCAAAATTAGCATTTTTCTTTAAAGTATAGCCCCCAAAATTACAGGAATAGCACATTTCATTTTTATACGTTTTTGTCAGCTTGAAAAGAAAGAAATTATTTTGCATATCTCTCGAAAAACGTCCACTTCCCTTCCTTTATAAATCTTTAATGTAACTTTAATTCCGACTTCTAGTTAAGTGATTAATTACATTTTTATGTTTCTGTTTCCCTGGTAATTAAAAAACAATTATGCTAATAATTTTCATTTCGTCGTTGAATCGGATTTGTAAATTACATTATATTATTGTATTATATTATTGTATTATTAAATCTGTAACATTGAGAAAAACCTGTTTCAAATTTCATTTTTCCGTATGTGTCGGTTTTATTTAGCTAAATCATTTCTGTTAAATTTTGTCCTCCGAAAAAGTGTCCAAGGGAAATAAGCTTGTAAAATAACATTTAATTTTAAATCAATACAAAAAGAACTATTGGAAAACCAAATGTCTGCTTCCTATAATTACCCCTTCGGACGAGGCAAATTTGTTGTTCAAAATGCGTTCATGTCGAAAAATGCGCCGTGAATTCTTAATGATATGTTCATCAGAGAATGAATTTCTATTCGGCATATGTTTTGTACTAGCGAGTTTGTTTGCTATGGTCGCGCCTTCGGCGCTCCCTTACCTTGGATAGTGATTAATTCATTCATTTTTTGCGAAATGGGAAACACGTATTTAAAGTATGTCCCCATTGACACATGTGACATATGGGGTCGAATGTCTTGATTTTTTTCATCAAAATCATTACCTCTATGAATCTGTGTGCCTAACTTTAAATCTTTTCTTGTGTCCCTTTTTGTAAGGTTGGAGAATACATTTTGAAAAACTTCCCTCCAATAATCTACGCTAAGGATACATATTTCAAAATTAGGATTTTTCCTCTACTCAGCCATCAAACAGGTACTTCTGAGGGAAGTTTAAAATTTCTGTCTCTGTTTCGCTGGATCAAAAAAAAATCAGGNAGCTGACATCTTGTGGGAAGTTGCATTCGTATTCGTTCACGAGGTGAAACCATTTTCACGGTTGTTTTATTTTTACTTCACTCATCCATGCGGTGAAGTACAAAGAGATGCAGTCCTGGAGAAAAGAGAACTATTTAAAAAATATGTTCCCCGAAAAGGTGTGCCCCTATGGCGTGTATCACCCAAGTGGAATTATTCCTTAACTCAGCATGTGAATAGCTACTTATATCAGTCAGTCACGATCGTCTATATATATTATATGACTATAAACGTTTATGATGTTGCTCTGTTATACGATGCCCCATTTCTGCCATATGATTTTTGTCCTAATTCACACCATTACTTTTCATTGCCTATTTATAGGTGAAATTGGGCGAAGAACAGGGTCTGAGACGCAAGGCCGACAATCCCCCAGGTCACCGTTTCGTCAATCACGTTCTGATGTTTGCAGTACGTGGTAAATATGAAAGAGGAAACAAAATTCAAAAAGTGGTAATAATGTTCAGGTTGTAGGGCTTTGTTATCGAGTCGGTTCCTTTGATGATGCGAAGAGATGGAAGGAACAGAATTGCATACTTCCCAAGATAATAGTATGTGCCTAAGGAGCCAAAAAAATGCAATTGCTCAATCTAACCATATGCAGGAAAATTGAAGTATTACAAATGTTCAGATCCACAACGTTCACATGCCACAAGTGTTTTAGACAAATTCTTTCATGTTTTCTAAACAATAATATTAGATATTAATCGCCTCTTGTCGCTAATCAGCTTGCGGTCGCATCGGTGCTCCTCCAAGTCGAAGTTCGGGAATACCGAGGGGCCTGAGAAGGGAACGATCCAACGGGAGAATGGAAGTGGAATATCCAGGGAAATATCCCTGGATGGTGGTGCTGAGTCTGGTCCAAGACCTTCCAACCCAGTGTGTGGGGACGCTCATCACAGACCGACATGTCCTCACTTCTGCTCACTGCTTCCAATCATCCACCGAGTATGTGAACTGGTCGAAAATGATAAAAACGACTAGTCGAAGGCCCGTGTACGCACTGGGTGGATCGGGCGGTGAATTTCGAATTTGTTTACAGGATGAGGAATGCTGGAAAAAATATTCCACAATGGAAAATGTTCACAGTTGAACGCGATGATAACTGTCCCCCGACCCGGCTCATGACCAGTCTTCTCTGCCGCTGATCGTTTTCGGAATCTGTCTCACTTGCTCAGCGTAGGCGGGAACATTTTGCCTCGATACTCGGTAGTTTTGAGGGATCAACATCACTATGATATGCAAAATTCGCTTTCTCCTACGATCATCAGCTTGAAGGCATTATCAAACTGTTTCTCTGTCGATAACTATGTAGCATGATAATGGAAAGATTTTTCTCCGAAAAAAAACCTTAAAAAAATAAGATGAAGAGAAAAGAGTTAAGTGCCCGTGACGGCCCAGAGGGACAGAACTAAACCGCAATCAGGCAGACAAGAACATGCACGCAATTTCAGTTGCAATGATATCTATTTTTGGAAAGTTAACCCATTCGGTCAACAACGTCCGGTCAAGGCTGAGAGAGGGTTCACTTTTCAACGTAGCAATGTTGCCACAACGGCAGGTGAATTCAATTTTTCATTGAATTATGAAATTCAATTGTTGTCGCAATGTTGAAATAAAGCACAGTTCAACGTTGATGCGATCATGTGTCTCTTTCTGCCAGGGTTGAATTATAAAAGTTTTGGGATTTCCTCCCCTTTTTTAAGCCTTCGCGAAAATTAATATAGATTAGAGCTTTAAAGTACTCTATTGAGTATTATTATTCTACAGAAGAATCATACTGAAGTTATATTTTCCTTAAGAGGATCAGGTTGCGAAACGCTGTTACCAATGAGGGGCTTTGAGAAATAGAATAATAGGAAGCTTGATTGATAGAAAACAAGATCAAACATATTATCCCATTCCTTTCTAGATTCCAGCCAGCTATCATACTTTGTGAATGCATCGATGAGTAGTGAAGAAAGGGATCCGTTTCCATTAAATTCCAGATCTCTTGTGGTGGTGACGTTGGGCGAACACGACATGAAGACGACCTCGGAGGCGACGACCACGACGCAGACGGTCCCCTGGGAGAACGTCATCCGCCATCCCCATTACGACGCGTCGACGCCGGAGAACGACATCGCCCTGGTGAGACTGGACACCCCGGTGAACTGGGAGGAATTCCCAAACGTCCGGCCCGTGTGCCTGGCGAACACTTCCCCGGATCCTTCGGCTAAGGCGGTGGTTGCATGGTGGGAATGGCGCGGTAAGAGGGCTCGACTTTTTCTCAATAATTCGTTGAAGAACTTCTCTCTGACGTTATCCTCGCAAAAATTCTGTAAGAGGATTTTCTCTAAATAAAAAAGTATTAATAGATTCGCTCTCGTGCATTCGGTGAGTCAAAGACTCTCATGTTACAATTGGCTTCCACCATCTTGTAGACTTGCCCTAGTAACTTGATGTCAATGGAAGCAGGAACCTCAGAAAGGAGAAGAAAAGCTATTTATTGACGCGTTCACGTAAAGCCTTTCGATTCTAGATTCGTTTATTAATGCCAAATAGGATTTGAAAAGCTCTTGTATGAGGTTGAAATCTAGGCCCACTCCGTCGCAGAGTACCCCAAGTATAGAATGTTTTTTATTGAGCCTCCTTTCCTGAAAGGAAGGAAACCACTCATAGTCCCGTCTGTGTGTTGCAATGTCACAATTTGATAGTCCGACGATGACAAAAAAATAATTGTCCGATTAATGCGAAAATTGGCAAGCGGGTAGATATGACAGAATGGACGGCACATTAAGTACCTTCTCAGGTGAAATGAACTGAAATGAACTGATGAAAATGTACCAAATTGTGTGCTTGGTTTTTGGCATTTGTGCATTTTGTTTTTGTTCTATTTGTTTCTTTCTTTTGTCAGTTGTGAGAGATTTTATGTTGGACAAACATATGAACACCTACTTTTTGGCTATGAAAAGTAAATTAAATGCCAATCTCACAGTCTTAGTAATTTGTATGCTAGACTCCGGCCACAAATCATAGTTGAGTCATCTAATGTCCATACCAAACTTCATAGGAATCGGCTGCCTACAATCACATTATCAACTCACCAAAAATGATAGCTCTTTTTGGCCCACACTGTAGTTACCAATCTTTGTTTATCACTTTTGCCGGAATGGTAACTCTAAATTATTCCATTCAATCTGGAGACTTTTTTGCTAGTGAGTTAGTTTCATGACATGCGTCTGTTTTATTTTCGATTTTCCACTTCTTAATACACATGCTTTTCCATTCTGAAGAGACTTCAGGAAGTTGCATGCGCTTCAATACCACAGGAGTTACCATCATTGTTCTTCGAGCGCTTTTGAAACGGGGAACTCGTTAATTTGTTCTAATGTGACATAAGGACAATTAAAATCATGTCACGCTGTTCTCATAGACGTGCTGTTGGAAGCGAAATTGGAAGTACTACCGGACTCGACGTGCAGCAAGAAATGGCCGGATCCCTTCATCGCCACCACATTCTGCGCCCTGGGAATCGATCGTACTTGTCACGTAAGTTAATTCCATTAAGATGTCGTTATCCCGTCATTTTGATGGGAATCTTTACAGCCAGCTCAGAAAAATGATTTATTTTCCTTACCAGGGAATTTCCTGATATCGTTTATCCCATGGTTTTCTTTGCTCAATAACATACCATTATACGAGATACTTCATAATAATTTCTATTTACTCATTTATACTCCATAAAATGGCCTTCGAATTAAAAATATAGAAGCGAAGGTAGCTGACATCTTGTGGGAAGTTGCATTCGTATTCGTTCACGAGGTGAAACCATTTTCACGGTTGTTTTATTTTTCCTTCACTCATCCATGCGGTGAAATACAAAGAGATGCAGTCCTGGAGAAAAGAAAGCTGACATCTTGTGGGAAGTTGCATTCGTATTCGTTCACGAGGTGAAACCATTTTCACGGTTGTTTTATTTTTACTTCACTCATCCATGCGGTGAAGTACAAAGAGATGCAGTCCTGGAGAAAAGACGCTGAGTAAAAACATGAAATATTTATTGGTTGGAAGGTATTCATTGAGAACTCATGGTTACTTGTCTCATGTAGATTCGTGTCGTACATTCAATAGAACTTACATGAATGAAGCGGTGAACATCGTTCCAGGGTGTTTTCGAGGAACCGGTGATGATCCAAAACGAAGTAGGTATCTTCGAGCAGTTTGGAATCCCAATGAAACGCACATGCCGCGAACACGAGCCTGGGTTTTACATCAAAGTAGCCGGTGAGTTCAAAATGGGAAAAAAATAACTTAATGAAACGATCTGACTCAGTCTGAGATGCACGAGCTTCCGTTTCTCCAGGTTTCCTCCGTGACTTCATCCAGCCGAACACGCAGGATGCAATCTGGTGTCCTCCCGAGTAGAACACTGACGATGACGATCGAACGAGGAACAACGATTAATAGGCTTTCGTACTGGGACGACGGAGACTGCCTGATTCTCTTACTGTTCACTTTTCGGCTCGTCAACCGAAGAAAAATGTCTCAGGCTCTTATTTTTAAAAGTTAACCCATGAGTCCTTTTTTAAATTGAGTACAATACTTAATTCATATGTGGTAATAAAATATTACTTTCCTTAAAAGGCCAGCTTTATTTCAAATAACCCCACAGGAAGTGATTCATAATCTAGAAGGGACTAGGCTTTTCAGATTGGGAAAGGTCCCAAACTCCAGGAAAGCAGAAATAGAGCTGGAGTTAAGTATGTCCAAGTTTATGTTTGACAGGCTTGCCTGCAAGCTTCACTTGCTTGGTATGACTGAGACGAGGGAAATTCAAAATACTCGGAATACACAATTTTTTTTAAAGGAATACCTGCTGTGCCTAAGAAACAGCGATATTGTGAGCTACAACGATGATATCCTTCAGAGCAGCCTCGTTAGGCAGTCAGACTCCTTTTTGTATACAGTAGCGCTCGGTTCGCGAACGCTGTCGTGACTTCTTCCACTTCATGATCGCCATCTAAGCAACTTAAGGTGCGACCTCTGGCACAGCAAGAGCAAGACGTCGCGCGGAGCCGGATCCCACGAGCACTTATGGTGGGAAAGAAATGGACCTTGTGCATAGGGAGGTACGTCGCCACGATAACGGATGAGTGGCTGGGGCTTTGTCGGGCTGAAAAGGCACTCTCCGAATCTCGAGTTTCGTGGCCGTTTCTGACGAATGTCGTCGCCCAGGTTTTAAAGGACCTTTCAACAGAATACACAATTATGAAGGGAGTATGACACTAACTTTGACGCAACACCACCATTTCCTAACAAGTCCTTCCTTCAAATGAACGAATTCCAGACTGTGAAGGTAAAACCACATGCAAGTTTGTTGCTTCCTGCACATCAATGCTAAGTCATGAATTTTGCAGAGCAACCATCCTCATTATTATGCCCCATATATTTTTGAATCAAATGAACGAATTCCAGACTGTGAAGGTAAAACCACATGCAAGTTTGTTGCTTCCTGCACATCAATGCTAAGTCATGAATTTTGCAGAGCAACCATCCTCATTATTATGCCCCATATATTTTTGAATCAACCGTCGAACTAAATCATGCTTGGTATGCGATAGATTCAAAACGCAGATACCTTTACCTACCTCCACAAGGGGTACTCATTTCGTCAGGATACTCCTGTTGAGCTGAAATTGATTGATGCCTGGGAAGAAAGTTCCTCCCGACCCTCCCCTTGCCTCCGTCAGCGCCCATCCCTTTCGTGGAAGGACGAGGAAGAATCGAGAGGAACTTCATCGCATCCCCGAATAATGCCAGGTTGTTAAGGGTAGTTATAGCTCTTTACGAATAAGGACGAAAGGTGCTAACATTTTTCATGCAAATCTATCCGGATCTGATTCGTTTGAAGGTTAGTTATCATTGGTAGCGTTGACGACGTTCCGTCGGTAATCTCCAAATATATGTCCAAGAGTACTTGCCCAAACGTCGTAGTTCAACTCGTTGATGTTTCCTTATCAATCCTTATTTCAGTCTGAGTAGAGAGATGAATATAGAGAAGCACTCATAATTTCAATCTGCTACGAGGGAAAGTTTATTATTCATTTGCTAGACAAATGTTCATTTTATATTCTGCTCATTATCTAGCCTAAGCATTGTGAGGCCCCTTCGTGCCTCCCCGAGCAAAAGCATTTTCTTTTTACTGGCCACCGCGGTTATAAAGCAGAATTCATTTGCTAGACAAATGTTCATTTTATATTCTGCTCATTATCTAGCCTAAGCATTGTGAGGCCCCTTCGTGCCTCCCCGAGCAAAAGCATTTTCTTTTTACTGGCCACCGCGGTTATAAAGCAGGTATTCATATCCAAAATTTAATTGCATACGATACGGAATCTGGCAAGGATTCCATTCTTAAGATTATTTTTCATGTGTGTGGAAGTTGTACAAGGGGACGAATGATGAATTAAAGTGTGGGTAAAGCGGCAGATGCGATGCAAATATATAAGAAGGGAGCAATAAATAGCATTTTCACTTGACATCTCCGGTCGGAGTGTTCTGGCAAAGATGAGTCTCATGACTTGCACTGTTTTTCTCGCTACGCTATGGATACTGTCCAGCCACGTTCGACAACCGAGTGCAATGTGTTAAAGGATTGGTACGTAGTAATTCAGGTGATTACATTTATTATGGACTTCACGTAAATATGAAAATCTTGAACGATTTCCTTTAAAATTATATTTGAAAAAAGGAAATTAAATTGTTACATTGACAAGTATGGTCGATTTTTCTCGATAATCTCTGAATAAGGCTTGTTTACGCCATATACAGTGTCTGTATTGATATCCTATGAATGAAGGGGTTGAAATTACGTGTACCATGTGAAACCCCCGCTTTTTAAAAATAACCCTTCAACCAATTGAACCGGTGTCATACAGAGAAGTTATTCGAAAAGCAAATCTGAGTTATATCTGAGAAACACTGAATTTCACGCAATGTTCCAAGCCGTTTAATAGAGCTCCTCTAGCTCTTTCTCAGAACGTATGGCTTTCTGAGATGCTACCAATGCACCTTACATTTCCGATTGCAAGCACCATATGTTTTAGAATCTTATCGATATGAAGTATGATAATAGGGATAAACAATTTTTTCCAGGTCAAGAGTATTGTGTAAGCAATGAGAAGTTTCAGAAATTATGCTTTCACATCATTTGCAAACAAAGTTTCCGGTCTAGAAAAAGGCTGCACTCATGGAACTTGAAATTCACTTTAAATTTCGCAAAAACTACTTAAATCCCTTACTGGTGTCGTCGCAGAATGGGATGTCACAATATTCCCATGCCGTCGTCGTGTAATCAACGTAGCACCAAGGTTTCCTTTTCAGATCGAGATTTCGGCAGTAAATCCTGTGGAATGGAGGGTGTGAGTCTGGGAAAAGCATCGAGTACGACACGTCCTGTTCGATGAGTTCTTCATCATATCATGGAAAAAGTCCTGCATCGCCTTTTTGGTTGATGAATGCCGGATGTTCATCCCAGAAGAGACAATCTTTCCCCGTTGCCGTCTTTGTCATCGCCCCAATGTATTCCGCCCCGCTCTCTGTCAATAGGCACAAAAAAGTCCTGCATCGCCTTTTTGGTTGATGAATGCCGGATGTTCATCCCAGAAGAGACAATCTTTCCCCGTTGCCGTCTTTGTCATCGCCCCAATGTATTCCGCCCCGCTCTCTGTCAATAGGCACCGAGGATACGCATTCTCTCCAGCGGCTCCAGCTGCAATGGGAAGTCGATTTACATTTATCCAGCATTTCATCCAGTAGAAACCCTGATAATTCAATGATAATATCTATTTTACGCATGCAGGGTCGTCTATGCCTAAAAGCACTTCATTCGTAGGCTGAAAGACACCGATGCAGCGTGTAATAAGGTCATTAGGAATTAATGTAACTAGCATTCATGACGGCCTAATAAAGTGGGTGCTCTCTTAGGAGTGAGAAGATAATGTTATATGTAACAGTGTTGACTCACTCTTGTTGATAGATTCCAGAAGGTCGTAACAGAAAGGAACCTCACAAGGCATTAACTGAGCTGCGCATTAATGCATTACATAACAGAGTTGACCAAGAGGACCTGACATCGGATTGCGACAAAAGTTGTGCCTGCTATCCACGGGGTCCGGAAAAACAGGTAGGGTCTCATCACATCGGTTGGATTACATCATTATGGAACTCAACCGTGGTAGGCAGAGGTTCCCTGACCTTGACATATTCTTCTTCCTCGTGCATTCTCCGCTAACGGAATTCTGCAAGCATCCAAAGGGAGCTGTTGAGATGACTCCAAAGAGGTTATCCAACTATATAGTTGTAGTTGTTATCAGCTTGGATTTCAAAAACAATGTTTACGTGGATTTGGGGAGGTTAGTGGCAGCCTTCTCGTGGCCCTCCCGTTTAAGCAAATCTGACGATCACCTGGTAATAGCTCAAAACGGGAACTAATGCCCCTATATTGGAGGCTGAACGCCTTTTCCCGGCCCCTCAGTCACTATATCGACCGCACAAAACGTTGGCCAAAAGGTCATCATCAGGGCCAGCTGAATCGCGAAGTGGATCGCCAAGTTGAGAAAACTTTTGTTCTGATTATGGAATTCTTAAAAGCCATAAATGTTGAATCTTGGTGCTTTTCAGTAGAATTTATATATTTTCTCGGTGAAAGTGGGAAAAAGGAGCATTACGCTTCCAAAGTAGTCATGGTTGGCCAAACCAGGAATACACAACAACTCTGTTAATTCAGCCTTTGGTAGTTAAAGTTTCCCTGAAAATAGTCTTCAGAAATTCTAGACTTAAGCTATGGAAAGAGGCAGATGTCGTAGTTGGCCAAAGCAGGAGAGTTGGGTGAGTGGTGAAGAAGAGAGAACATGCCCTCCCGCCTAGGTAGGACGTCCTCGACTTCTCCTTGCGAGGGTCATTATAGTCATGGTGAAGCAGCATCTGTCATGTTCTAGTCTTTGATCTCGTTATCTCAAGCTCTCTGAAGACCTTCGCCAAAATTGTTTGATTACAAAAACCAGCTGTGATGATTCTAGACATTTAGATGATATGAACATAGAAAATTGAGAATTGATGGTGGACATCTGACTTAGAAACCAGGTTTCAAAACTTTAGGTCGAGGCTCAACTTTTGAAAGCCAGAACCTCTTGGACTGCATATTTTTCACGGTGAAGGAGAATGTCCAATATGTGTTTCCTGTCACATCGGAGTGTCTATTTGGACGATCAGCTTTTGAACACTTTCCCCTTGTTTTTACTGTCGGGATATGAGAAAATCTCGCAAGCCTGAAATTCTTCAACAAGGCTGAATGACGAAAATGTGGTGTCTACGCAACTGATCCAAAGCTCATGATATCAAACTCTCCAAGTAGTATTAGAATCAAA